ATTGGCGTCTCCTGGGGTTTGAAGGGATTTAACCAGAGGGGAGGGTTTGGGTGGGAGGGCCGATGACGCGTTAAGGGGCCTTCGTTTCAGGTCCACACGGGTGGGATGACGATGGCGGTACCGCTGTTGAGCCTTTAGAGGGAACGGGCCGTGGCCACGCCAGAGGGTCCCCCAGCAACGCCACCCCACTTCCTGGATGGTCCGCATGGGTAAGAAGATTGAGTCTGTACGAGAGAAGGGTACACCCTTTTCGGTTTCTTCTCTATCCATGATTTATATTAGTATTAGAAGTAGTATAAAACGAGGTTCATAAAAGAGATTTGGAGGGGGGAGGGAGAGAGTGAAGGGGTAATCCAGAAAAAGTGAGTTAGCAACACACCGTAATGTCGTGTTTGAGCGTGACCGATGCTCAGTTTACTTTTCTTACGTATTCTCATGACTTGTTATCAATAGTGAGACAAAACCTAAAAAATCGATTTTAATCCGAGTTATTATTTCCAGTAACAATACTCTTCTGTGGTTAAAAAGGAGGTGAAGAGTTATCAATGGATTGTTGATGTTATAGAGCGTCATGTGTAGAGATTACGCTGCTTATTGCTGAACTTCATAAATGTACAAACGATATAAGTCACTGTCCCCCAGGAATCGGTAGCTTGTATTGGTTCCCCAAGCAAATTTGGTGTCTGATTCCTTTCTTAAAGTGTAATACAATCTGAAATAAGGAATTTCCCATGTTACTTGGATGAACTGCCCGTACCGCGTAGAATTTGTTAGACATCGATCTGCGAAGCATAAGCTTACTTCGTGAAGCATTTTATCGATGTCTTCCTCCATTCTTGGATTAGCTTTGTCCGTTTGAAGTGCATCCATTGTGCATTTATCTATGACAAGGTCGAAGGATGGCCCATAAAGACGCCTTACCTCTTTTAGATCGCGCACATCAGCCACTAGCCAGTGTGTATTCGGAAGGTTGGCGTGCTTTAATCGCATCTTCTCTAAGACCACTTCGGAGTAATCCATGGCAACCTGCACCAGCTGGTAAGGAGCAGTCTTGAGGTCGGAATATTTTCCGGTGTAATGTCTGTACAGATCGACACATATATTCGAGTTCCCAACACCAAGGTGAAGAACTTTAATTACATGTGGTTCATTTGTATTGCATGAACGGAGTCGATGTTGTTCTTCATAAACCTTTTCTACCGAATCAAACGCAGCTTGAACACATGCTGGGTAAATAGAAGGTAACCAATCATATTCGTCCTCATTAGTGTACCTTTGATCCCAATACTCACGCTTGCTGTACTCGCTATTATCACATGGCACTTCTGACATTTATAAGCTATCTTGAAATTTGAAAAATATTTTAAAATTCGAGCACAATAAAACAATGGATATGTTGCTTTTTCTAAATAGCATAACGAATCGTTGTTACTTTATTGTTCAAAGGAAATAACCACACATCATATTTTTGAATAAGAAAACACTAAGGAAGACGAAATGTGTAGTGTTTGTCTTGTTTTATATTATTACATAAAAACTTATAGGTAAGCTCTTATCGTTGCAAGGTTATTACCATTTCATACTTCTAAAAGCTCCACATTAATGTGTGTATAAAGATTTGCCTGAGAGAAGCTTCAGTCTCACTATTATTACCTTTCTTTACCACGTGTATCTGCCTACTTCTTCACTTATCACCCCCCCCCCCCCAATAACCTCTACTACATTCTTGAGTGAATCTATCGAGACAATTACCATGTTTATATTATTCTGATTCTTGTCTTAGAAGTTAAACCCTTGTGCGTCCAGAGCCCATGAAAACTTTTTCTGTAAGGTGGCAGAAAATATTTTATTAATAGGAACATTTTGCTCCTTAGCCCATGAACAAATAATACGAGGGTCTATATAGTTCACTTTGCTGGTCCCAAGAGACACAGTTTTATTGTCATCTTTGATCGCGATGGCATTTAACTCCCGATTCAGTCGTTCCTTGTAGCGTTCGATTCCTTTTTCAAGGTCGGATGGGAAATTCCGAATAACGGGTGGGCGTGGGGGTAAGATGGGTTCCGTTGTCTCCTCGACATCATCCAGCAAAGGTAAATCCTCGTTCAGCAGTCCCTCATCTTTGGCCAATTGAAAAAGTGTCGGCTCGCTGGCGACATCCGAGGCGGATTCAACCGATCTCGAGTTCGTCTCGCTCGATCCCTGCGTTCCCTCATAGGAGGTGGTGGAAGAAGTGGAGGAAGAGTCCTCGCTGGACGACTCCGATGGGCTTCTCGTAGAGGTGGGGGAGTCCAACGTCTTGTCCCGGGCCTCCACGCAGAATCGTTTCGGATTGATTCCCACCTTTGAATCGCCGGGGTGAGGGATCGTCATCGTCGGGGTCGGGATTGAGATGGGGATCGTTGGAATTCGAACGGGCATCTTCATCGGGACTTTCACCGG